TGTTCTTCTTCAGCAGAATCACCGTCCCGTCATCAATTTCAAACTCTCCGTGGTCCTTCAAACACCTCACCTGCAAACAGACGGGTCAGACTTTAGATGGACGTGAAGCTCTGTGGTTCAGGTCAGAGTCTGGATGTGGGTGGTGGCTTTAGAAGGTGTGTGTGTGTGTGTGTGTTTCAGTCTGTGATGACAGAACATCTGGAACATCTGGAGCAGTGCAGCTTGGCTGTGATGGTTTATTGATGGATGTGATGTCAGAGCTCAAACAGCGTCTCACCTCGATGTAAAGACTCTTGGGAGGCTTCATGTCCTGCGTGATGTCGAGACCTTCTCCTCCGCCCAGAGAACGCATAAACGACGCCAAAGACTTTTTATATTGACTGAACCACTGCAGCTGATTTTAAATCAACAAACAGAGAAACAAGTGAAACATCTTTGAATTCATTCACATAGAAGCTGAGTCATCAAGGAGACCGACCCTGCGGTAGAAACACATCCTTTAACGCTCACCTCCTCTGCACACATGTGGAATCGAACGTTGGCGGGCAGAACGCTGCCATACTCCCAGCGCAGAGCTCGGATCCTAAGCAGGCGGTCGTACCTGAGGGGGCGGAGACAAATGACTCAACATCAGTGTCATTCAACTTCTCAATTATTAAACTAACGCTGCGTTCCGGACGACTCGGAGGTCGGACGTTTTGACTTCCAAGTGTTCCACTGCACGGTGATGATGTCAAATGTAAACAAACATGTCTGACCATGAGAAGCTGATGCAGCCTCCGTGAAGTCTGGGTAGATGAAGATTCTCCAAGTCGTCTCTGACTGTGACGGGCGTTCCGTGAGGAACGCAGCATAAAAACTAAGCGTCTCCAGAACTCACTCGACAGTAAACGACAGTAAACGACAGTAAACGAGTGATCGTTCATCATCAATTAAAACTGATTCAGCTGCTGACGACTGACAACAAACCTGAGTTTGATCTGAAAACAGGAAAACGAGAAACTGAACGCACGTCACATGTG